CTCAGATCTGAGGTCAGTCATGGCTATAAATGAGTTCAGGGGATTTCAGGAGGTTAACGCTGCTTCCAGGTCACTGGTTATGTCCACTCTTAATCTGCAGGGTTTCATATATTATAACAGTGCAAATGGGTACAAGGCAAAATTAAATAGATGTTTAATATTCATGCTGTGTCTTAAACAGAAATTGCTAACAGCTGCATTCTTCCAACTCTGCGTTTCCAGGTGGCCGAGGACAAAATGGCAGCCCCATCATTATTTTCCCAGAGTACCCGGCGTTTGGTGAGCTGGAGGAACAGGAGTTTCACAATGTGCTGACATACCTGACCAGCATTCCCAGGTGAGAAAACAGGAGGTGGAGGGATCAGTCATTTCCAGCACTTACACAAAAAAAATAACCAGGGCTCCTAGATTCATGGGAATCTCTGAAATATCAGGGAATGTGAAAATATATATTTTTCATAAAACCTATAAAAGTCATTATTTAAGAAGTGCTGGTAGATAGTGTAGACTTACATGGAAACCAGTGTGATAACCTCAGTCATCATTGAGGGTTTTATTGGAGTGTGTTTTAATGTATTCTAATACTCTAATCTAATTCCAAAAATGTCTACCTGACATGCCCCAATCGAACATGATTTAAAATCCAGTGATGATCAGCGATTGAAAAGTGTGGGAGCAATAAATTACCCTGCGAATCCTGTTAGAATTATTAAAAATAATAATAAAATTATGTATTTAAATTATGATTTATATTATTTTATTTATTCAAATCACTGGACTGTATATGAGAGACTGGGGGAGAAATATTTTGGTGTTTTCTTTTAGTTCTTGAATTGGACAGAAGGGGGCAAACTAATGCTTTCCCATTGTAACATCATGCTTTTTGCAATTCAATGTGTGTGTGTGTGTGTGTGTGTGTGTGTGTGTGTGTGTGTGTGACTGGTGCCTCATTAATATTCATCATGCATATTAAATTAGAATGTGTGATTATGTACATGGTTAACAAGGTGATCTTAATGCCCCTTGTTTTACATATGCATTCTTAGTTTGTGAATAATCTGAATACATGAGATTCTCAGGGAAATACATTTATTGTTATTATTGACTTGGAAATGCCATCATATCAATAAGTAACCAATAGGTGTTGAATTAATTAGCATGTGTATACCTTCTTTTTTTCTTCTTTTAAAAAAAAATATTAATTCAGTTCAGTAGTGCATTGGTCTATTTGCTGATCCTGTGAAATCCTCTTTAATTTAACACCCCTTGTTAATATTCTAATGAAAGAGTGATTCTGGTCCTTTCTGTCACTCTCTCTGCATTCCCATTATTCCCATGAGAAACTAGAGAGGGAGGGGGGGTGATTGAGTAATTAGATGGATTTATTCATGCTGAAAATGGCCGATGGGGTTTTAATTTGGTTCTGGTTTGGTGAATGAGAGGAGTCCTGGAGCAAAATACTGCAGCTCATGAAATAAAGCGGTGAACGTCATGAAAACCCTCAAGAATGTGCCCTAGTCATATTTCAACACAAAAGAAAGTAATAGGAAATTGTTTTACTTGAAGAAAACCATTGACCAGAAAACCTTTAATTGTATCGTGGCATTATTTTCACGACAGTTAAGTGCATTTAGCCCCAAAGTATTGTAATGCAAAAAAAATAAAAAAATAAATACTACCTTGAATTAATGCTAATTTAAATAAATTAAAACATCATTATGCTACTCTCTGGACACATAATGCAATCAGGGAAATGTGGTTGAAAATTATGCCGCAATGCCAGAAGTCTATTTTATTTTATTATTTTTGTTTTTATTTTGTTTTTGTTTATTTTATTTTAATCTGTTTGTTTTTTATTTATTTGTTTCTTTTTTGGCGTTTGTTTTCATTTTATTTTATGAAATATAACCACTTTTTTTAATATAAATATAACCAAAACAATGTATTTGTAAAATTCATCCAAAGATTTGTAAGACATTGTCCTGATTTTTCTCTGTGGTTTCTGGCAAAATATCTACAATATTAAAATTGTAATATTTTAATTAATTTAACAATTTACAGTCGAACCCAAATATCTTGCGGTCATATATTTTTTTGTGTTAACAATGAAAATGCAAATGCTCTCTATTGAATATATCTTCGTCCCATTGTTCACTCAAAGCATCCAGCTATCTAGAATTTAAAAAATGATATTACATGTCGCTCTTAATAAAATGCACTAACAACACCGAACAATAATTAAAAACAGTAATGGACTAAGCACCAGTATGACCATAAATCATGTGCAATGAAGCACCCAATGGCTTTAGGACCCCCCCAGAAGCCTTTGAATGGAAGGTTATAATTACAGTGATGTTTGTAATCAGATTTCTGATCTTTATTACTGACAGACACTCAAGGTCATTAGTCAATGTCAGTGCAGCTCTACACAGAGACTTTTTCAGCTGATAAGACCCCTACATATCTCTCCTTTCCTTCTTAATCTCACCCTCCGCTATGAAAGGAGTGGAGAGCAAACGTTCCTGAGAAAAAACAGCCAGAGGCTTAGAGGGGGGACAGGGGAGGTGGTATTGAGAGGAGAGAAAAGGGATGGGAGTGTGAAAATTTGGTGGAGAAGGCGGGAGCGGTAACGTGAGCCAGGAGAAGAGACACACAATCTGTATGTCAGCGTAATGGCGGCAGATTTGATACACAAGTATCTGCAGTGCCAGTTTCTATTGGGAGGAGCTTTCATTATCAATCCGCACCTATCCCACACCCACATTCTGTATTCGCAATTCAAGCTAGTCTCTGGGTGTCTGTCCATCAGCGCTCTCCTGAGCTCTGATAGGTTGAGAGGGAGCACCTGATGCTGCACGATTGGTCGCTGTAGAGGGGGAGGCAAAATGTAGCCGTTCTCCCGGTCTGTGCCTACGGTGGCACTCATTCAAATGGAACCATAAACAGAGGGGCTGAAAGCAAAGGTGCACTGAAGGGAAGAAAGACACTTGGAATATCAGCATTAGGGGTTGTTTCTGTACATTCAAGCTGCTTTTTTTTTAATATCAGGAGTGTGCAATTGGATTTTTCCGCTGCCTCGGTCACTAAAAAGCAGCTTGATTCTGCTGGCGTTCTCCATGGTGATGGACGTAGCAACCAGCTCAGCATCTCTGCGCTACGCTTGCATTCTGGGCTAGTGCTTTTCAACGTACGTCTCTGTGTATTGATACGCTTTTGGCTACATTTTGAGTGTGTGGGGGCAAATGCAGATGTGTCCTCATAAATGAAATATGTTTCCTGTATACAGAGTGCTGGTTAATTTGCCAGTCTGATGTGTAAGGATGACTGCAGTGTGTTTGTTAGTTAGTAGAGACCTGTTTAATGATGGCTTTTAAGGCATCTGACATCTTCAGTATGTCAATGTTTATGATTTTTGGAAGTGTGTGTGTGTGTGTGCGCCCCTGCTGCCATGGTGATGGTGTCTTTTTGATTTTCAGTCTCAGCTCGACGGGGGGTCGGCTTCATCCTGGTCATTGACCGCCGGCAAGACAGATGGGCATCAGTGAAGGGGACACTGCTGCGGATCGCGGTGAGCCCTCAGCGTGTGTGTGTTAGAGAGAGAACAAAAATGGGATGTGCATGTGCTTAAATGTTTATTCCGATAGAGAACATCATACTTTTATATTTAAAGGGATAGTTTACCAAAAAAATGACCATTCTGTCATTATTTACTCACCCAAACCTGTGTGACGTACTGTTTCCTAAGTGGAACACAACTTAATGTCTCAATGTTTTGTTTTTTCTATGCAATGAAAGTCAATGGGGTCCAATATTGTTTTGGTCCTGATTGACTGACAAAAACTGTTCTTCAGAATATATTATTTTGTTATCCACAGAAGATAGACATTAGTCATAAGTTTTGGAAATGACATGAGGGTAAGTAAATAAACATAATTTTCATTTTTGGGTGAACTTTCCCTTTAAGAGAATTCCACACTGCAATTGGTTTCAGTAGCTTTGTCTTGTTTTCCAGTGCAAAGTTACTTAAAGGAATAGTTCTCTGCAAAATTAAAAATTCTGTCATTTACTCACCCACAAGTTGTTTCAAACCTGTATGAATTTCTTTTTTCTGCTGAACACAAAGGATGATATTTTGGAGGTAACCAAACAGTTGATGGACCCCATTGACATTGAATTTGTTTGTCATACTATGGAAGTGGTTTCCCATATTCTTTAAAATATCTTCGTTTGTGTTCAGCAGAAGAAAGAAACTCATACAGGTTTGAAACAACTTCAGGATGAGTAAAAGATGACAGAATTTTCTTTTTTGGGTGAGCTATCCCTTTAAGTGTAGTCACTTAAGTTTGGAAACACAAAATTCAGAAAACAAGACTTGTTAACTTGTCATTTTGCTTTTGAAGTAATCATTTGCACTTGGGAAAAATACTGAGGAAAAAATGCAGTGCATGTGTTTCAACACTCTAAGATGAAATCTCTTTGCGTGTCCATATGGACGAGGAAACTTTTGCGTGTGCATGTGTGTGTTGTTTTTTCCATGCTGTGTGAAGAATAGGAGCTGACAGGCAGGTGCCTCGGGCTGTATGAGTGGATTAGGCAGAATTTCAGCGTTATACCAAGGCATCTAAACAAGGCCCTCGGTTCTTTTCATAGAAACAGTAAATATTTAATCCACCACAGAGACGTCTAGCTAGCGCACCACAGCACCGCATGCTGCAGACATCCACAAGTGTTTAAACACAGCACACTGAAAGCACAAATGATCTCAAGTTATGTTCGCAGCTGTTCTTTATTAGCTGGTTTTGAGTGTGGATTGCAGTGATCATCAGTGCTATTATGTTCCTGGTAAACTCTTCTTGGCTGTCAACAAGTGTGTGTATGATGGTCAGTAGGGAGAGGTCAGTGGGCTAATCAGATTAACTGTGTTTAATAGGGTCAGCACTCAAAAACGCTACTGGAATCAAATAGGTGATCAAGAAAAATTTTCAACTGAAATTTTTATATTTTTTGGTCTCGACTGTTTACTTGTCTTTGAATTGCAGTGCAGGCAAGGGAGAAATTGTAAAAACAAGATTCTATGGTTTTAGAATTGCAAGTCTGTGCAGGTTGTGATGATCAAAGCTGAATTTTCAGCATTATTACTCCAGTATTCAGTGTCACATGATCCTTCAGAAATCATTCTGACATGCTGATTTTCTGCTCAAGAAACATGTCTTATTATGATCAATGTAGAAAATAGTTGTGCATTTTTTTCAGAATTATTTGATGAATTGAAGAATTGATGAAGTTCAAAAGAACAGCATTTATTTGAAAGAAATCTTCAGCAACATTATAAATGTCTTTACTGTCACTTTTGATTAAATTTAATGCATCCTTGTTGCATAAAAGTATTAATTATCTTACTGACTCCAAACTTTTATACGACAGTGACACTTGAAACTTGGTTTGGTAAACAAGGCCCAGTTTAACAGACAGATTGTTTATCATCCCATCATGTAATGAATGACTGATTTAATTTTTAAAGATGAGAGCTGGTCTTAAGCGACTAAATGAATTATTCACTTATTTCTCATAACTCTTTACATTAGTGTCCATTTAATAGTGTGAATGGATAGTGTTACTAAGTGATAGTAATGAGCAACATGCTCTTAATATTTAATTTCCGTTGAAAAGTCGGCAGATGCTCATTGAAACATGATCACTGTGCACTCCTAGGGGGAAAAAGGTTCATTGGGGTTCTATGTAGATCTTGACTGAGTTTTAAAGGACCCTTTATGCCCAAAGGGTTAGGAGAAACGTCTTGAATGCATGATTGCATAAAACGTTCATGTTTACCGGGTTATGTTAAGTGGTAAATTGTTTACAAGCTGTTTAATTCATAAAATGTCATCAAAATAATAACTGAATTAAAAGAAAATGAACTAAATCCACAAACTGATCCCACAATGGGAACCACTAAAAGGTTCTAAATATGAAGCGCCTGACTGAATCCTTAAGTTTCTATATAGAACCTTTTTTTTCTTCGAGTGTATGTTGAAGTACTCTAATGTCAGTTATTGTGAGAGTCAAACTTTTGTCTTTTAACAGGCTTGAATGTATTTGTGACATCAGATCTATATCAGAGTATGCGTCTCGTGTTCAGATTGTTTTTACTGTGTGGTTGTGTTGATGATAGAGAGGTTTATTTTACATTCCCCACAAACCCACTTTAGTTTAGAGAAATGACACACTCCAGGATTATCTTGCGCCATGAAGAGAGAGGAATTTATCTCTGTTTCATAGCCATAATGCATTTTGCTGCAGTGGTTGATGTCAGAGGTTTGACAATAATGAAATAACAAGATTATCATTCTTCCTTTGTCTCATGTCCCTCGCTCTCTTTCTCTTTATTTAACTTTCAACCTTCCTGTCAAATTGCACTTTAGATCTTCATATTGGTTGCAGGTTTTCAGGTTTTAACCCGGTGAGAGGCCTCCTGGGTAAAAATGTTACTTAGAATATCTTACTGTATCTATAGTATTTTTGCATATGATGACAAAAAGGGCATTATGTTCAAAAGTTTGGGGTCAGTAAGTGTTTTTGTTGTTGTTGTTTTAAGAATATTCAGTAAGGATGCATGAAAAGTGGCCAAGACATTTTTTAAATTTTGAAGATTTTGAATTGAAATTGGATTTTCTCGTCATCAAATAAGACGACTAAAGTTTACACAAAAATATTAAGCAGAAAATAACTTTTAAATATTTTTAATAATAAAAAAAAAAATCTTGAGCAGCAAATCATAATATCAGAATGATTTCTGAAGGATCGTGTGACACTGAAGACTGGAGTAATGATGCTGAAAAGGAGTGAATTACATTTTAACATATATTAAAATGGCAAACACTTAATTTAACTTGTAATAATATTTCACAATATTACTGTTTGTACTGTATTTTTGATCACATAAATGCAGCCATGGTGAGCATAACAGACTTACTGACCCCAAACTATTGAATTTGGTTCAATTTAGTAGGTTTGGTAGTTATTTACTTAATTTTGTGTCTAGTTTTAATAGTTTTAAACGAATTTGGTTGCTCCATTAATATAGTTTTTATTTATTTTTATATTTCATCATTTGACACAATTTTTGTTACCAGGGAAAAAAAAGAGTATTTTTTAAGTGGAGCTTTTACCCTGCTGTACCAACATACAGTTCTCTCTCCCTCCCCTTTTTCCTTTCTTCTCATTCACTCTCTCTCTCTCTCTCTCTCTCTCTCTCTCTCTCTCTCTCTCTCTCTCTCTCTCTCTCTCTCTCTCTCTCTCTCTCTCTCTCTCTCTCTCTCTCTCTCTCTCTCTCTCTCTCTCTCTCTCTCTCTCTCTCCTCACACACACAAGCACTTAATCTACTCCTTTCTTTCTCTAACCTCCGTCACAGCGCATATGGCTGATTGGTAATGGTTATCAGCAGTGCAGCTGGTGTGGAACGGCCAGAGGAGATTTTCCTACACGTGTCTGGAATCAATTCAAAATATACAAAGTCCTAGTAACATTATACATAATAATTAATTTCGAAATGAAGCCCATTGTGTGCTGTAGTCCTTATAGGTCATATTTACTCAATTACAAATGGTGTTGCTTCATAAATGACCAAATTAAGAACAATAAGACAGTATATATCATGGAAGCAATGCTGACGTTCGGGTTTGCTTGTGCTATGCGTTACATTGGTTAATGATGTTCTTAATGCGTTTCATTTACGGCCTAATTGCAAGTGTGTTCGTCACTTTCTTCATTTCTTTTAACATGGATCAAAATCCCTTGTGCACACTCTCATTAATGTATTTTTTGTTGTTAGAATTGGTGCTATTAATCTATTTGCATTTAGATTTGGTGCAATTTTGTGCGTTCTACACCATGCACCAATGAACAAAGAAGTCTGACGGAACTAGTCCCCGTATGGCCCAATCTAATTCACTTTAGGAAATTTTAATGTGTGCTAATGGATGCTAATGTATGATAATTGGGCACAGATAAACATCTTCCCCAATGTTGCTAAATTGAAATATTGTACTATCCTTGTAATATTTGCAATGGATGACCAATGATCTGCCCCCCACACACACATACACATAAACACATTTCTTTTAACATAAATCCCATATAACATCTCATGATCATTATCTGTCATACACTTTCTAAAACTCATATTTTATTAATTTTTTATTAAAATGTAAATTTTATTTTATTTAGTTTTGTTAAGGGTTATATGTACAGCATGAACTGTTGTTTCCACAATGACTCATAAATAATAATCGAATGAACAAAAGAAGCATTTATTACGCTCCTCCCTCTCAGTTCATCCAGCGGTGGAGCGCTTCAGCCTCCAGACTAGCTGTGTTTGGAGGTCTTTTATTATGGTGAACATTTCCTTTCTTTGACCTGAAAGCGTGGATGGGCATCTCCTTCAGTGCTCTCTCCGGCGTCTCAAGGGAGGTTGTTAAGAGGCTCGTGTGTTAAAAGACAGGAGAGCGTCTACCCAATGACATCTGCAGTAAAAGGGGGAAAAAAGCATCCACGTCCATTTTTACCCTA